CAATTTTCGCTACTAGGAACAAAGGGCATCGCTACTAGGAGCAAGGATGCTATTAGGGGCTCCTGGCCTTACCACTAGGAGCAATGTTTGCTATTAGAAACAAGAATTCAAAATGGCCTCCCTCAGTAAGTTGGATATGAGAGTTGGAAGGACCTCAGTTCTTTCTACAGACTGGGCTTTTGAATTGACTCGCTCGAGATGCCTTGTGATGTATGCATTGGTCAAGGCAGAGCAGAGCCAAACAAGCTCTTCATCGGACAGTTGCTTGGACGCTTCATCGTTTCATTGCACCATGACGTTCAGGCTACAAAAATGGTCTTTCGAATGTTGTGTGTTTTTGAGGCTGGCCTTTGAAGCTGAAGAAGGCATGGAGGGTTGGGCAAAGATTTCATTGATGAAGTTTTTGTTTTTTATTTTCCAGCTGCTCAGCTCAGTTAGAGCTGCCTGAGCAGCGTCAATCAGGCGACCTCCAAGAGAAGTTTGGGAGGTATGGAGAGATCCTCAATGTACGGCGCTCAAGAGGTGATGACTTCCCAGCTCATTAGCTTATGACGGCAATGCCGTATGCCTCCGGAACTGCCAAGATTCAAATTATCAAAGACAACATGACTGGAAAGTCCAAAGGCTATGGCACCTTGGATGACAGTGAGCACACTCTCGCTTTCGATAGACGGGAACAGACGCATGTGTTTGTGAGCATAGCCCACACATTGAAATTTATCTCTTTCCATCCTGAAGGCTAATCATTTGTGCTTTGGCTAAAATCCTGACAGAGAATCTAAAGTCTAAACCTAGGCTTCATCAAATTTGCTGAGACTTCTGATGCTGAGAAAGTGTTGAGGACAGCTGCCGCTTGTGAGGATTATATAGAATATTACATTGTGAAAAATTACAACATGTTTTGTTCCTTTGAGTCTTTTCCTAACGCAGGACAATGGATGGCGCAGAGATTTGTGGCCGCAAGTGCAGCTTTGTTGGAAAGAGCATGTCTACAGTGATCTATTGCCTAGTGGCACGCAACACCAAGGAAGTCGTTTATAACAGAGCGACTGCATGTTTGTCTTTTCGCTGCAACATGCCTCTATCAAGGCAAACTGGATAAAGCTGGCGGAGGAAGACAGAATGCGCCTGATGCCCAGCAGACAAGCTATGAGGTTCTTGCGATGTTTGGTTCATGTTTCGCAAAGCTGTGAGTGCTGGAGTTGACGGAGGTCTCGATATGATCGGGATGACCGGCGTGGTGGCGGCCGTGGGCGCGACGGGACGCTAGGTGGCACGCTACGATCTTGCTGCAGTCATTGCCCAGTCTAAGTTTTACCAATCTTCGTTGCTGCAGTGAACAGTGGCATTCTATAGCATGTAACGCTCGTACCGTTTAAGGAACAACAAAGAGCCAGAGAAGCTGTTTATCGGAAAGTTGCTCGGCCTGGATTTCGGAGAGCCTTGGTCGGTTGGTCTTCAGGTTTGGGGTTTGGTCCGTGCAACGACTAAGGCTATCACCGGACGCCACAGAGGACCGCTGGAAGAACCGCTGCTGCTTTCCATGTTGCTTTCCATCGTCCTGTCAGGATGACGTAAGAGAAGCATTCCGAAGACTTGGTGACATCAAGGTACAACTGATCAAGGATAGGGACACTGGTGACTCTCGTGGCTTTGGCTTCGTCACCTTCTCGGATGCTTCGAAAGCTGAAGAGGCCAGTGGTGCGCACTTGTTCTCGCTGAAGCACCATGCTATTTGCCCATCAGATGTCCGTGTGGCCCATTTCGCCCCTGTTCTAGTCATGATGCGAATCTCGGAGTGGCGCAGTGGCCAGAGATTTGACGGCTCTTGCTGCCCTACAATCCATTCAGTGAAATATACTTGGCCTGCTTGAACATTCACTCCTAGGACGTGCTAAGCGGAACTTTTGTCAAACCCTCCAAGCTTCAAATGTTTCAAGTCTAATGTGTCACAAAGCCCTATAACTAGTGGTACTGGCCTTCTCGCGAGAGAATAACATGTGCTGAAAGAGAATCTCAGCGTGTTTGACAAGCCAAGCCTGGACACGTGAGGTTTGCGTCAGCATGCGTCAGCATTAGACCCATATTTTCGAGGGAAGTACGTTATGATGGCAGCTTGTTCTGAGTCACTGGTGCAGTGAGCAGTGCTTCTGGGGCATGGCTTTTTGAATCGTTCGCAGCTGGCGGTGCTTGGCGCATTTGTCACTTAACAAGGCTGATCTAAGACCGACACCCCTAAACTCAAGGCAGAGGGACTGGGAATCAATGATGAAGAAGGGCTTAAAGATCAATTGAATAGCATTGCCCCCTGCAGGCGCTTCGATCATGGCAAGGGACAGAGATCGCTGGACAAGGTTGTAGACTGGAGCGTCCTGGTCAGAAGCCTCAAGGCGGACAAAGGCGGGAATCTGCTGGCATTACGACTATGAGCAAGGACGCTACTACCAGTAGGGGCTCCTGGCCTTACTACTAGGAGCAAGAAGCTCTGTCTTTTCGATCCATTCCCAGCGACAACTACCGTTCGGCGGCTGCGGCGGCTACGCCAGGGGAGGCGGCCGCGATTCGCGCTCACCAAGCCGCAGAGATCGTCGTGGGGATGGCCGCTCACGGTGACTCGACGATACTGGGGGAGGGACCCTACTGCAGGTATCGTCAAGATGCACAAGTGTGTATTTGTGGAATTATATTAATCGGATTAGGTGATTAGGTATATAAGTAGTTTGTCATTTTGACTATTCTAAAGTCCAATGAAGCCTCAAGACGGTCATGTTGGTTGGGGTCAGTGGTGGGGATCGCTTTGAGGTCCCGGGGACGACGTCAAGATCGAGATGATTGGGACCGGAGGCCTTGCCTGCGGCGATGACTTATTTGAGTGTCTCTTTCGGGGTCCCGAATGCACAGATATTTCTCTACAATGCTATCAGGCTGTATTTTTGGGATTCAACCTTGCTGGTGATTGTTGGTGTGAATAGCAAGTAGGTGAAGATCATTTCTGTGTTTACTCAGCGTGCACCTCTTGATTGCAACATGTGCCGTCCCCCGATGCAACTTCAAAGCGTGGCTTCAGCTGTCCTCAGTGGCATCCATCGGTGGCTTCGGTTGGATGGCCATAGAGTCGAAGATGGCCAAGACGGTCGGTGGCTCCCTGCGAAAGATGTCTTGACCGAGCTGCATACATGGATTGGCGTGTATGCAAAGGGCAAAACGAAAGTGTTGGCGAGGATACAGGTTTGATGTGTTTCGGGACAACTTTGTATAGCCCTTGAAATCCATCTGTGTTTTCTCTAGGCTCCGCCTTCTGAAAGATACTTGAGGGTATATGCTACCCAATACGTTCATTGCGTGCAGTCCCAGGTCTGTGCTTCCTTTAGTGCTGGAGTGCAAATATGGATGCAAGCAGTTCAAAGCAGCTTCCGTTTCGCACATGGCAATCTAGTGCATTGCGTGCACCTTCAAGAGTCTTTTGGAGCCCTTGCACCAAAGCGCTTTGATCTTGCAAAGTGCCCAGCGATTGCCCAGCGCTATGCAGCATGAAGTCCAGATCCAGCATATCTCAGCGAGAGATGCAGAGATGCAAGCACGTTACAAGGTGACGAACCTGAAACATTTGCGCCAGAATCTTCAAGGACTTTGACAGCTCTTTGAGTCCTAGAGTCCAATCTCCAGAGCAATTCGTGCATGAGACACAGAGACAGCACCCCAGAAATCCTCTGATTTCATTTAAAGCTTTCAACCGCCCAGTGGATCCCCTTCTAGATGAACTGTGCGTTCTGCTCAGTTTTCCCCAGTTTCAGGGGACGAGCTCGGGATCGATGGGAAGCTCGACCGCGCGATCGGCGTCAAGGCGCACGGGTGGAACGAGCTGAGAAAGGAAGCCCTTTTTTGTCCACAGCATGTGATGAAAGCATGTGATGAAAGCACATGAAGGCCCATGGAAGTCCCAAGGTCATGGCCTGCTCTTTTAGTCTTCGTCAAAGTGCTAGTTTTCACTGTGCTACGATTTCACGCTGTGGATGTCGCATTGGTTCGAAACTATCCTTGACTCAAGTCAATTGCCTCACCCCAAAGATAGAATATTTACAAAAACAAATCCGATTTCAAGTAAGACATGTTCCATCGTTCAAAGGCTGAATCTTTTAGTTTAATTTTCGGGGAAACAAGGCCATCCGCTGTCTCCCGCCGTTGCGGGTGCTTCTGAGCCATGTGGGGTTCGTCGAACGAGAAGAATGCTCGGGAGAGCTGGGGGATCGTTGAAGAGGGAAACCGTTTGCTCGGAAAGATGCAAGGCTACGTTCAGGGACACACTCCACTGGACACGGAGCGAGTTTGCACTGATTGCCTCTTCATTCCTCTTTTCATTGCTGCAATCATAGGCTTTGGGATTTGCATCTCCAACGCGATGGAAAGTGGAAGCTTCGAGAGACTCACATCGCTTCCAGACTTTGAAGGGAATCTTTGCGGTACAATGGGACAGGGCCCCTACTTGTACTTTTGTCGACAAGAGGGAATCGGAGGTGCTCAGGCCATTGGATTGGATTTGCAACATCAGATTTGTCTTCAAAGCTGCCCCATTGATAGCAGCAGCCAGATCTTTTGTCGTGCCACAGGGACACGACAGATGAGCTATCCAACCCATTCCCTGGCTGGCATGGTTTGCATGCCTGATTCCGGTGAGTTGTCAAGTGAAATCAGGAACCTCTTCGGCAACAACCCCTTTGTGAAGACCCTTTTTGATGCAACAGAGGTCACCTACGATTGGGAGCAGTTGGTGATGGCATCGATTGTGGCTTCGCTTCTTTCGTACTTGTACTTGTTCTGCATTTCACTCTGTGCCAATTTCCTGGTTTGGCTTTGCTTGATCATCTTGGTGACAATTCCAACTTGCTTGGGATTTGTTTATGTCTACATGTCAGCGTCACCTGAGATCGTCGTACCCAACACTTTCCCTGGAATGATCACCACAGGTGATCCGCAGAACAACCTCTCCTTTGGCCTGGCCCTCTGTGGCATTGGCATTTTGTTGGCCTGTGTGGCGGTCTTCAAGGCAAAAACCATCCAAATGGCCTTAGGATCTATCGAGGAGGCGGCGGAATGCATTCGGGACATGCCCCTTTTGTCTGTCCAGCCTTGGGTGAGTAGTGCGGTTACGATGGTGGTCTTCATCCCGGGATTCGTGGGCTTTATGATGCTGAACATGGCTGGAGAGTTGCCGAATCACGTCGACTTCACTTCGGGGCAGCCAATCTACACCGGAGATCCCTATGTGATCTTTACTTTGATTTACTATGTGGTGATTTTCGTGTGGATCCTGGAGCTCTTACATGCCATCTCTCAGTTCGTAGTGATGTTCACAGCACAGGTCTGGTTTTTTCGGATGAAAGGCCGAGACCATAGTTTCTGGTCTCAGTTCAGTGCATATGACCTGCTCTATGGCTACCTCTATGCAGCCACCTATCACTTGGGCTCTTTGCTTTATGGCTCATTCCTTTGCACCATCTTCAGGGTCTTACGTATGCTCGCAGCGATCCTGATTCGTGCGGCTGAAGATTCGGGCAATCCTGTGGTGGCATGCTTCTTGAAGTGCTTCACTTGCTGCCTTTCCTGTGCAGAAGCTTTGCTGCGGTTCATGACTAGCTTGGCCTATTGTGACATCGCCATGAACTCTACCACTTATTGTGAGGGCGCGCAGCATGCGGTTAAGCTCGTGAACAACTACGGTAGCGCTCTGGCGGCTGTTGAGGGTCTGGCCATGATGTTCTCCTTCGTTGGTGTCGCTGTGGTCTCCGTCAGTACAGCTGCCGTTTGCTGGATGCTGAGCAACAGTATCAACCGCTATAGCGATCCATTGAGTGACCACTTTGTTCCAGACAAGCAGATGCTGACCTTCCTCTTCGGAGTGGTTGGTGCTGTCATGGCAATTCCCTTCATGCATTTGTTCGACAGCATTTGTGATGCCATAGTTTATTGCAATGCTGCATCATCGCTGCAGCTTCCAAGCTCATGGGGGGGGATCTGGTGGTCTCTTTGGCATGTTTACAGGCCACTAGACAACATCCATGCTTCTGGCATTCATGAAGGCATAGAAAAATCTCGATAGCCTTCTAGAAGAAGGGAGCTGGACCAGATATTTGAATGTGGGCCACGATGCTTAGACAATATGTGGCCCCGAGCACAAGTCAAGGGTGTCTCACCTTGTGAATTCATGATGCTGAACCAACCAAGCACGATGCAGAGAACTGCACTCTCTGGCCCAAAGATGGCTGTGTTGGTTCATAGAGTGAAAGATGTTGACAGGAAAAAAAAGTAACTGAGTCCGAGTGGCAGCAGCTGAGATCTTGACACAGCATACCCTGTGAATTGAACTCCACCAGACATTGGACTCTCTCTGCCTTGAAACGCAAGATCCCCTTTGTGGAACTCTTGACTTCAGGTGGCAGAGGTGAGAGAGACCGGGGAGAACGTGATCGAGGCGATCGAGGGGATCGTGATCGAGGTGATCGTGATCGAGGCGATCGAGGTCGAGGTGATCGCGGCGATCGAGGGGATCGAGGCGATCGAGGCGATCGCGATCGTCGAGATCGTGGCCGAGAGCGTGACGATAGAAGAGATGAGGGACGAGGACGAGATGACAGAGATGAAAGCCACCTGGTGGCATTCTGTTTTTTTTCCAAGAAGGAAGTAACAAGAAGCTACTAGTAACAAAGGGCATCGCTACTAGGAGCAAGGACGCTACTAGTAGCTCCTGGCATTACTACTAGTAACAAGAAGCCAACACTCAGGTGATTCACGGGATTCACGAGCTGAAGAAAGCCAGCGCGAACGCCGTTCTCGGACACCGGATGGACTGCCCAGGTGGCTGACCAAGTTTATCCCATTCATGAGAAGACAGAGGGTGGGGGGTAAGAAGCCAGCTAAGAGAGGCAAACATAAATCGAAATGCATTGAGCAGACGAAGCACGCAAAGCTTGACACCTTGGAAGTACTTGTAGTGCATCAGGAAAAGTGAAGCCATCAGCGCAGCCCGAAATGCATATGAGGAACGTCGTAATGCTTATCATGTCGTTTTCTGAAAGAAACTCATGGGATTCAGCTGATAGCGAGTTTCAGGATGCATACCAGCGTGTGCAAGATGCACGCGAGGAAGCAGATTCGGCAGAGGCAAGCAAGGAGCACCTGCAGACTTTCAGCCGTTCTGTTCACTGCATGCAGGCCTCATTAAAGAAGATGCAAAAGGATGCAATGCGGGCAGTGGATCGCAAGGCTGCTGTATGCCGTTGTGCATTGGTCAGCACCGTGAGTATCAGCGTGATTCTGTAGGTCGCAGATGAAACTGAAAGGATCAAGGCAGATCTGGAAGACAAACTCAGTAGTGGGCTTAGAGGCTTAAGCGATGCACTGAGGCGCCAGTCTTTTGAATAGGTCGCCAGACTGCAGAAAATAAACCTTTCAGTTGCAGAGAATGTTGAAGCAGGGTATGTCGTGGTTGCATGTCAGAAGCTGAAAGTGGGGCAATCGGACGAAGCAAGGTGAGATGAGAAGCAAAGCAAAGAATACCCTAGCTTTGTCCATGGATACAGCAGAACTTAAGCTGCGTGAAGAGTTGGCCGAGAAGATTGCCCAGATCAGAAAGGACCCGTTGCCTTTTCGTCAGGCAAGAATTGAGCCTGCTTGGAGTTCCCAGTTCTGCAGTTGAGAGGGTTTTGCCCATCTTCAGGTCACAAGGGCCAAGGGTCTGGAGACAACTTGTTTGATGATTTGCTGATAATGTTGACTGAAACATATTGCAGAACATGTTGAGAGTTGTTTCCTACATTATGAAGTACAGTGATAAGGTCAAGTGAGGGTTCCATCTAAGGAGAAATTTCTTTGCACGGGAATTTCTATGTCATATTCACTCAGTTGAGCAATGATTTCTTCCGAAGGAATAGTCGCGGTGTCCGAGGTTTTTAGGATTAATAAAGTAGGGGTTTCCAGGAGCAATATTTCCTGAAGCACGATTCTTTGATCAAATATATCCAATCCTTTTAGTAAATTTGCTACGGGGCCATTGACATTGGCGACTAGCCAAGTCAAAGAGTCTCTTTTGAATGATCAATTTTTTCAAAGTCTTCTTGCCCTGCTCAAATGCTGAGCCCCTATAGAGCCCAAATCCAAAGTACAGTGATTTAAAATCATGTTGCAGAACATGTTGAGAGTTCGCGAGGGACTTTGCAGAAACATAACAACGAACAAAATGCTTTTGAGGCCTCGCCGTGCTTGATGTAAAGTTTGTCTATTGTGGAACAATATGAGACTGTCCAGTCAGTTGCAGTGGACTTCTTGCATTTGTCTCAATATGTCCCCTCAGACCCTTGGATGCAACACTGGGGTGGCAATTTGCCAAATGTGCTCGAAAACTGCACACCTGAACATAGCCGAAGACCTTCGTTTCTTGGCAGGAGTATGACGTGAAGGCACCAAGCTGAGCAAAATGGCTGGGGTGGCTTAGGGTTCTCCGTACTGTTGGCTGCCTAAGGTTAAGGACGAGCACGCCAGACTTCGAAGGGAGCACGAGGATGAAGCAGAGGATGCTGAGAACAAGGCAAGATAATGCGTATACGGTGAAATCCACTTTGGATTCCAGACCTGCTTGACAAATAGGTCGCTTGTAAGTAGTGGTTTGGGGGTGGCTACTTCCAATAGGGCTACTGGATGTGACTCCAAGAATGATAGGAGCAAGAAGCAGCTGAGAAGAAAATAGAGGCTTGGGACTTTGTAACCGAAGATGTTCAGCTTTGCTATATCATGACACGTAAGGAACTGCGAAAGAAAGCTGAAAAGGAGGAAAACCCATGGGAGTGGAGAGAAGCCCGCGACAAGGCGGTAAACAAACACCGAATGACTGACAAAGTCTTTGGCCGAACGGACTTTGAGAGAGAATGTGCTGCGAGTGCCACTCTAGTGCTGCCTTCCAAGACTTTCAAGCCTTTTTGCAGGCTGTAGACACCTTGGAGAAGGAGGAGGAGAAGTTGGAATCTGCTAAAAGACGATTGGAGTCGTTGACTGGGCAGCCAGTGAAGGCCTGTGGCGGAGTCCGGAGTTTCTTTCGTTTTGCAGCAGATTGTTGATTCAGCATTGGAAAAAAGATGAGAAAAGCAAGGGATGGTTCCACTTCTGTGGAATGATACAAACAATGACACACATTTGTTTGGCTCTTCAAGTAGGAGAAAGTAGAAATCAAAAGAACGTTTGACCCACTGCAGAAGCATTAACTTGGAAAGAATTGAAAGGGATGATGAATTGGATCGATGAAACAAAGATTGCGCCATCAAGCGCAATAACAAATTCATCGCCAGGAACCTCGGTCCCGCTCGATGTTGCCACGCGAGAAGCGCGGCAAGCGGCCACCCTCTCGCCAGGCAAGTCGACGAACGCAATAGAGGTTTTGATGATTCATATAACCTCAGGTGATTGAGCGTGCAACTCAATATGTTTCTTCCTCCTCAAAATGTCATGCACAGCTTGCTGGCTGAAGCTCAGATAGCCATAGCTATGGGGTGCTTAGTCACTTCTTGCAAAGAATGACTTGGCTGTGCGCACTTTGGAGACAGGTTGTCGGTGCAGGTGCAGTTCTGGGTGTTTTTACATTTTAGACACGGTGTTGGTGCAGGCGCTCTCAGTAAGTGAGGGGCTTTGGCTTGCAACTACTGTGACTTTGTCAGACCATGTTTGTGGACAACAACACTGTTCTGTTTGGGCACGAATCATACCTGCCATCAGAAGCAGCAGGGAGGGGAGTGGTGTGTTGCTGTTTGCAGCGTCGCCTATTTATTGCTTTGCCTTCGTGAGATCATTTTTGAGAGTGCAATACCTCAGTGTTCACCATCAGTTTGTATGCGACATTGTACCTGCTATGATGACCCTGGCAGCAAACAAGAGGGGACATGACATGCACTTCAGATGTTGATTGGCGAGATTGCAAGGATATTGGCTGCTTCCTGTGTCGGCTATTATATATACTATGACTCTTATGACTTTGCCAGGTTGTCTTTATGAAAGGCAAAACTGCTTTGTGTACGATGTTGCATGCATAGTTTCATCAACTTTGCAAACATTGACAGGACCTTTCTCGACTTAACCATCGAAACACTGCTGGCAAACTTGCCCCCTTTTTTGGCATTCTGTCTATGGGGGTGCAGTCCGGTGCAGTCGTTTTCCCGTGCCAGGAAAACACATCATGTGGCTTCAACTTTGTGGGTTAGCTGTAGTCTGGTTTGCTTCTAAACATTTGGCACGTCCTGTGTTTCAGCTATTGTTGTGGAGGCCCGCGGCCGAGACTAAGCCCAATCATCTAACGACCTGGTGCTCCTGAAGGCCGGAAAGAGATGGCACCATGTTCCAAGGAATTGTCAAATTGTGGGATGCTCACAAGGGAGGTGGAATAAGATGGAACAGTTTGCTAGCAGCTATTTGCAAACAAATGGTGCTTGGCGGGGGATTTTTGTTCCACTGGTGCGGTTTGCAGGCGATTGTTTCCCCCAAACGACCTTGATCAGAATACTTAGGATGAAGTCCACTTGTCCCAATCTTTAACATTACTCAATGCCTCTTACATACCTTTCATGGAGCGCTTTCAAAGTCCAGCTTCGTTTGAGGTCTGCTCAAATCTGAGCGCAGTGCAGGTGGCACGTGTAGCGGAGCGCGCCGCGGTTTCAAAAAAGTCCGCTTTGAAAGCTGGACGCGGTAGAAGGCCAAAGATGTTGGCACATACTTGCAGTGGACTTGTAGGTTTTTTTTTGCAGGACGTACATTATATACACTGATAACATTTTCACATAGTCGTGTATAGGTACACATCAAACCTCGTGGTCACGTGCGCGAGGAGCGGCAGCGACTGCTTCAGCGCTTGGAATCCATGCCTGGCCAGGCTAGATTTGCCCAGCATGTCTCGGCTTACATTTGCATTGCTCCTTTGTTTGTGTTTCATACACCGGCTGGACGACAATTTCTCTCATATTCTTTGCGCTACGTTTTCCTGGCAGATGCTCAATGGCTGAACTCGTTTTCATTGAACACATCCTTGTCAACAGGACATTTTGTGGGATTTAGTTCTGAACCAGGATATGCCAAACATGGCTGCAAGAATCCTTGTATGGACATACTGCTAGAGCTCCCACACCCTCTTTGAAAACCCAAGCTTTCGCGGAGATCTGCGAACCTGGTGGCGATGGGGGCTGCCGTGGCGGATGTGGGGTTTGCTGGTGGCCGCGCTGGCCTATGCAGACACTCCGCAGGGTGATCCAACATGTTGGATTGGGGCCATCAATTTTCGAACTTGCTGCCTCCCACCGCCACATGGTAACCCACAGTGTTGGGATGCAACCTACAACTATGAGCGATGCTGCCTTGGCCATGGGCCTGTGGACATCAACGCGGTGGAAGACATCTCTTCAATTGGCGGCTGTGAATTGAATATTTTTCAAGATTTCAAAGCTCGTGCAGGCATGACCGGTGTGTGTGTGTGTTTCTTTTTGCCGTATGCTGAGCTAAGCTTCTTATCAGATTCTACATCTTGCAGGCGCATGGTACCGCAATGGAACGCCCAATTTGGTGCTTTTCCAAGAGTTTGGGTACATTGCACGACGGTTTGACTCCATGTATAGGACTGGACAGTACTTCTTTCTTCAGAAAGACAGCAAGCAAGAAAGAAAAAAAGGAAGAAAGACAAAAGGAAGAAAGAGACAGAAAGAGAAAGAAAGAAAGAAAGGAAGAAAGGAAGAAAGGAAGAAGGAATGAAGGGAGGGAGGGAAAGGAAAGGAAAGGAAAGGAAGGGAAGGGAAGGGAAGGGAAGGGAAAGGACATTGAAGGAAAAGAAAGAACAATAAACAAAGAAAGAGAAAGGAGAAGAGAGGAAAAGAAAGGAACAGAAAGAAAGAAAGGAAGAAAGGAATCCAGGGAGAAAGGAAGAAAGGAAGGAAGGAAGGGATCGCCTGCGCAGGAGCTGTGCACCAGCAGTTCGCTCCTGAGTGTCTTGTCCGGTGAGGCAAAACCACCTGCAAGCTTTCAAATGCTGAACCAATTGCTCCTGCAAGGCTCTTACGGCTTTGCTCCTGAAGCTAGAGTCTGTGTATTTTGAACAGGAGCGCTGTGCGCAAGAAGGCAGCACGGCTTATCCTGTGTCAGTTCATGTCAACTCCAATGAACAAATGATACAGGATGCGATGTGGACTGCTCTTTATGCTCATTATGTGGAGCGACATCACGAGGCAATGTTCTTTGTTGTGAACTGCATGAGTCTGTGCCACACAAGTCAATGACTATCTCTAGCCCTACCAGGCTGTGGCAGCTGGTTCCTTGTTGCGACCTGGTTGTGAGATGTTGTGAGTGGACACATCTCCGGTGTTTCTCATCCATTGTGGATGCGTGATACACGTAACTGACTGTGATAGCAGCGCCCAGGCGTACCTTTTCACTTTGCTAGAGCCAATAGCCCAGACCATTTGTAGATATTTGTAGCATACGATGCACCTAACCATGCTAATTGCTTTTGTTGGCTCATTTTTCCCCAAGAAGTTTACTGTTGGGGTTCTATCTTAGAAAAAAAAGAGCTGGCCACACTGACTGGCCGCGCCCCTGAACTCTGTGGCCGGGTTCTGTGACCGGGACCTGGTCTTGTCCTCCTCTTGTCTTCTCTTGTCCTGCTCTTCTCTTGTCTTCTCTTGTGGCCGAGCACTTAGCGATGTCGATGCCGACAAAAATCATTGATAAAGCAGTTTGCTCTTGGGGGGAAGGTAGGGCGTACCAAGAAATCGTTGTTGACTAATATTGTTCGAAACAAATCGTTTTGAAGCTGTTTGGGGTCTATGCTGGCATAAATTTTAGATGATCCTGGCAACCCAAGGCAGAGCCACCATGTGAATGGGAATCTTGACTGCAAGACATCCCCCATTTCCAAGAGCTTGGTTTCTCAGAAGCTAGGTGCTGCACAAGCTCCCAAAGTTTTCCGGCATCAGTGGCCAAGAGTAAGCCGTCCCCAACCGATTCAGATTCATGCTTTTGGATCCAAAGGTGGCCCTTGGTCGAGGGATTGCAACGGATTCATGCTTTGCGTGAACTGCAGCCGCAAACAAGGCACAGGAGTGGCGATGTGTCACTCTTTTCGGCTGGGACACACTGTGACAGCTCTGTGGACCTATCATTATCGAGGACACCTTCGGTGACACCTTCGGTGGACTTGGTTCTGTGCTACTGCGGCAGGCTCGGAGACTCGGAACGGAACGAAGCACGGCTCGTGTGTTTGGGAAGCGAGGAACGAGCGCATCGAGTGGCTTCGGGGATTCCACCGATTGCCGTGGCGAGATGAGGAAACCTAGATTCTGTCATAAATTGGATATCTAGGGAGGACTGCAACATATTGCAGCCCACCATGGCAGCAATCACATTGCAGGATAGATCAGAAACCATCCGGAACTCTGTGGCGCTCAGGCCTTCTTGCTTGTTTTCTTTGCAATTTTCTTAACCAGTATATACACAAGACAGCTGTCCGATGGCCAGTTGAGGATCTATCACAAATGCGGACACATCTTCCCGAACGAAGAGGAGGAGTGGAATGCATCTTTGTGTGTCTTCTCTTGGTGCTCAGATGTGATCAGCTCCAGGGCAACCTGTTGGAGTTGATTAAACTCCGTTTCAGAAACTATGTTTCGGAAACTGTGCACGCGTCAGAACTTACATTTCAGAAACTATGTGGGTTTCAGAAACCAAGCCTCTGAAACTATATGTCTGTCAGAAATCACAATTGCAACGTTGTGTCGCTTCCTGTCGACACTTGCTGGCTTGGAGGGATGGGGGGGTGGGGGCCAACATGGTTAATGTTCTTTGTGATTGCAACAATATGTGACTTTGTGATACTTCATGCCGACACTTGTAGTTTCCGAAACATGCCAAACAGTCTCCAAATCATAATAGGGAGTTTCCGAAACTTAGTTTCAGAAATTTAGTTTCTGAACCATGGTTTCAGAAACAGTTATATATTGACCGTTGGAGTTGAAGCAATTGAAGCTTTATGCCTTGAGGAGAAACAAAAATTGATCGCTGCCTGGTCGAGTTGGTTCCACACAGTCGAGGCGAAATCTAAAGCGTAATTGATCTCGCACAGCGGCGCCGCAAGCGGCACAGGTCCGCTTCGTTGATGATGAGATCAGAGCAGATGATTGCTCTGCTTACCTGGCATACATAGTGGATCAAAGCTCAGTTTTCAATCTGTGCAGCATCAAGAATTCCAAAGACGATTGGCAGAAATGAGGACCGCTATGACAACATGCCCGAGTTTGCCGTGTTCCTCCATGCGGATGCGCCTGAGGCAGCACCGCTTGGACGAATGGAAGAGCACGGGCCATTCCTCACACTACCATTTCTCCAGTGGTAGATCGGTAGATTGGCTCATGCCTGGCAGCATATTCCGACGGTGGACTTGCTGATGGACACCGTCTTCGCTGCCGCAAGGTGAGGGATTTCTGCACAAAGCAGAAGACATGAGGGTGACTGTGTGCCTAATTTCACGCCAGGGGCTACCTGCCAAGAGAAGCAGGCTTCATCCATTTGTCGCACAATTATGTTCGGCATGACTGCCCAGGAGAGCTTGATGAGCGTAGTACACGCCTTGGCTGCCTTGGTAGAGTGTTTGTGTTGTGCCTTGGCAGGAAGCACCGAGCCCTGCAGAACGCCAGATGCATTTGAGGTTTCACAGCTTTGGAGGACAGAGAAGTGCAGGTCGTGTTGTCTCCCACCCGCGCAAAAGGTCTAAGTTCGTACAAGAAAACACTCTTCTCTATTCACTATTGTTGACGCCCAGCCTTAGACTTAGGCAAGTTCTGCCTTGAGATTGGGTTTTTCTCAGCTTGGACTTATATATAGGGTGCTGTTCCTGGTCAGAAAGCGTATAACCAAGCCCGAGGTGAAGACATTGTTTTCTCATGCAACCGCACTTTGCCGACTGATCAAAGCCTCAGATGCACTTGTTCCTTGTAGCTTCTTGTTACTACTAGTAAGGCACTTGTTACTAGTAGCGATGCACTTGTTCCTAGTAGCGATGCACCAAGAACAACGATACTTGCTCTGGAACTTGTACCCGCGAGGATAGACTGCGACGTTTAGGGTCTTCCACAGTAAAAGCAATCGGAGTGGCTGAAGACCCCAAGCTTCACCGTTGAGCCACGAAAAAGACATGTGTATGGTGCAGTTCCAGTCTCCTCACCGATGAGTGCATTTTTGAAGGGAAGAGTTCAATCAGTACATTGACATTTGATGACGTTGGTGCAAACTGCTAGCACTTTTCAGGACTGTCTTTCAGGGGTAGAGGACGCTACTAGGAACAACCAGCATCGCTACTAGGAGCCAGGACGCTACTAGGGGCTCCTGGCCGTACTACTAGGAACAAGAACGCTACTAGGAGCTTTGGTCCAAACTCCTAGCGCTTTTCAGGACTGTCTTTAGGTCATCAATTACTCCAGCAATGTCTCAGGCTGGCTTTTCATGTTGCCTCCACTCTTGGCGCCTTGATTGGTTTGATCCGTCAGGGTGATCTGAATGGCTACTGTTGCGCCCAGGGCTTGAGGCTTTTGTGTCGCAGAGATGGAGGAATTCCTTTTCTAATATTTTGACCATGAGGTTCAGTTCTTGGTGCGCCGAGAGCGAGTGCATTTGCGGAACAAAGAATTCTACGCTATTCCCTTAGCGTAAAGCCTTCTTGCCTAGAAGTCGGGAAGTGACAGCTTTTCAGCAAGTCCTTTCCACACACATGAACTAGGGTCTTCAGAGTTACTGTCAGGTGAAGTGTGAGCAATCTTTTTGTTCTTTGAATGTTGTGCAGACCTGCCTTCAAAATATCTGGATTCTGAGCAAGGCCCGTGCCTTGCGGTTCTTCGGCGCAGCCGGGTTGCAGACGTGTTCAAACCGCCTTTGGTTGATCCAGTCGCAGGGTATTGGTAGGAGTTAAGCTACTGAGAAGACCTCTGGATCTGATCGGTGATTCTGGCATGCTGGCCTTTGCCATGCTTATTCTAGCCAAGGATACGCCAGCTTCTTACCACGCCCTTTTTCCAGTGGGCAAGGTGCCGCTGTCAACATGTCAAGTTGCTCCAAATTGCTCCAAAGCAAACTGAATTAGGTTTATATACCTTTTTGTTTTTTACCAGGTGGTTTGGGAGCCTGATACCCGGGGACGCACTCCATGTCAACTCACCATGTGCCCCAGATGCCAGCAAATATTGTTGTTGTTGTTGTTACACAAGAATCTGGAGAGAGTTCCAGGCTGGACCGTTTGGTTGCAAATACCAAGGTACTTTTGGCACGTCATGTTTGGAGAAGAACTATGGCTTCCGCGAAGACACAGGGACACACGATTGCAACGCCCTCAAGAAAGACTGCTCAGCTGCAGACAGACTGACCTTGCCCTTTGGACTGGACTTCCTTTTAATTCTGTCTACCTGCAGACCTGCAGCAAATGCATTTGCTGAGCATGATCCCTCGTCACGACAAGGCCCCTGTTCATTCGCATGCTAAACATAGAGGCAGGGACACGCACTGTTATGCGACTTGTTGACAGAACAGAAGACTCTCTGCTGGATCATAATCGTTGCCGCATGTTTGCTTTTTTGATATCATGTGAAGGCGGAGGCTGTGGTGGAGGCACAACGCGGTGAAGATGGTCCTGCGGCAGCTGTGATTCAGTTCACAGGCGGGCCTCGAAGGATGTGTTTTCATATTTATTGATTTGTCAGTCTGGGACCTTGAGATATCGCAGGTGAAAATGCTTGCAAAAGGCAGACATTTTTGCATTTTGTAGTAGATCCATGAGTATGCGGTTTGACACCCGTTGGACGATTAATTCAAGAGTAAAGACTCTCTCTCTCTCTCTCTCTCGCACGCACTCGCTCTCCACCTCTCGCTCTCTCTCTCTCTCTCTTTTTCTTGTGTTCATTTTTCCGTAATATATACTATTTTTCATTGTCCAAGGCGATGACACCGGGGCTGATGATACGTGCTCCACTCGATGCTGTGTTTTGTATCAGCAGAGATGCAACAATGACAGAGAGAATGAGCCAGATTGAAGTCATACTTTCGTCGTAAAGATTTGTGAGGTATCACAAGGTAGTTGTCCAACAAATCATTGGAGAACCACTGAAGGTATTTTGGTATACAAAAAAAAATATACACCCTATATACTTTTCTTATATGTTTTTTTCCAACAACCGTCTTCAGAGTGAGGTATTACCGTCTTCAGAGTCTGTTTTCAGAAGCTGATGCTTGAGAAGAGTTTCGGCGATGTCCTCAACGGCTGGCGAGATCCAACCAGATTCTTCCTCGATTGCGACAAAGGCCGGGGGGGTAGGCCGCCAGTAGGAGCTAGGTAGCTACTAGGCTACAAGAACGCTACTACCTAGTAGCCAGAAGGATAGCTCGCGCTGACCCCAGCGACAGGGGCTGCTGTAGCAGAATCAGCATACACATAGGAGAATCATAGTAACAAGAAGCTACTAGGAACAAGTGCATCGCTTCTAGTAACAAGTCCCTTACTAGTAGTAACAAGGACGCTACTAGTAACAAAAAGCTACTAGGAACAAGTGTAGAATCAACCAAATTTGTCGGAATCATAGGAGAGAGCTTTGCTGGAGCCCGGTCAGACGGGCAATGTGATGGAAGTTGGATTGCTGCCTCATTGAACTCGGGACTGCTTTCCTGAGTTAGCTTTTGCTGGCAAAAGACTTGGTGGGGTTCTAGACAGATCTTGAAGTTCATCAGGTGCAAAGATAGGTCAATGTTTGTTTCTCTTTCTCTTGAATCCGAAGCCCAGGACTGGACCAACGAAAAGATGCTGATGCAAGTTTCCCTGATGCTGATGCAGTGCTAGTACTACTGAACGCGTGATGTTCCTCTTATTTCCAAGTCTCGGGCAATTGACCCATATTGTGCCGACGTAATGCAAGCCAGGGCGCAACAAAGATTTCTTGGCCGAAAACTGACGGAGCTAATCGCTAGCAAAAGTGGAAATGGTCCCCGTTTTGCCATGAGCCAAGCAAACTACTACGCATTTTTGTAACTTCTCGCGCCCTCGGATATTCAAGACCTTCTCATCGCTTATAGTTGGTTGGTTCCAGTAGAGAAGATGCTCAAATTGCACCCGTTGCCGGCCCGTTGCCCATAGGCGCATCGATTGTTCTGAGTTTTGGCAATGGAGAGCACAACACTGAAGCGAAAGCGAGAAGATTGGGACTTGACACCTGAAGAGGTGGGGGTTGGGTGATTGACAGGTAGATTGGATTCATTCATAGCCAATCGGTTTCCATGAGATCGGCTCTCCAGGTCCGTGAAGATCAAACTCAAGAGGCTCCAGTGCCTCAGCTGAGCTTACTCTGCGATGACTCTGCGATGGAATCACTGGATTCCTCCAGTGTTCTCACTCTTCCCCGCGGTTGCGGGGTCGTTGCTTGCCTGGGTGCTTGCTTGCTTGGCTGCTGTGTTGGTGAATTGGTTGTGCTGGTGGTTCCTAGCCGCTGTCGCTGCTGCCATTTGTGGTGTTGTCTTATGGTTTTTCACCGATAGCTGGAAGCTTATAGGGGGTCTTACTCGTTCTTACTTCTTTTAGAACCAGGCCCTGGTCGCCTGGAACAGGCTCTGATTCGCAACTTGTCGCCTGGAACTCTGGAACCTTGGAACCCTGAACCCTTGGAGCCTTGGAACTCTGGAACCAGATGTTGATCAAAACTTTTTGCCTGGAACCAGCTGATCGCAAGAACTCTGAATCCTGTTCACTGAATGTTATGACTGGATACGCAACTGATGCATGAGTCTCTTGCTGGTTACGTGTTTGTTGTTGAACATCTCAGCGCTGCTTTAAAACAACCAGATTGGGGTAATTCTTGGGCTTTGTTTTTGCGCTTCTGTTGATGCTGTTCGCCCAGACAGCTGGAAGTGATGGGGGCTCTTACATGCTCTTACTTCTCTTCAAGCCAGGCCTGATCGCAAACTTTGAACCTGCAACTCCCCTGGAGCTGTGGCGCCAGATTTTGATCACAAAGGAACCCTGGAGCTAGGGATTGACTGCTGAGTACTGGAACACTTTTCTCACATTCAGGAGCTGTCACGTGATGCTATCATATTGCGTTTGCCTGTCCCTGTTCTTTTTCATTCCGGATCCGGTTGGTGGTCTGAACCGCAGCTTTCTCATCGTTGCTTTTCTGTTGGCTCGTTGCGGTAGGTTGTTCATAGGTTCTGTGATATCTTGCGGAAGCAAAACCAGTTTTTTGGATACTGACTGTGGGCTAGGGATCTGGTTTTGCCTGAGGATCCAGAAGACCGTGATGAGGACCTGGATCATTTGGCGTCGGCTGACGTTGTTCCACGATCGGATGCTGATCACCTACGCCAACTTGACAGCCTGGGCATTAGCGCAGCCCAAGACGAGCCTTTGAATGCTGACGAGCAAACTGTGGACTTGACGTTCAAGAGTGACGGCAGGTTGCCCCAGGGGCCGTATTGGTTCCGAAAAAGCCTTACAAACACTGGACTCCAGACTTTGTTGCGAAGTGAAAGGCTCACAGGGGCAGCGTTCGTGCATTGGATGCACAGCTTGATTCGTGCTTGCAACTGCCATGTGCAAGTCTCGCAGGACCTGTGCGTTGCAGATGTGTGGGCCACCAACTTTGGAGTTGCGGCAAATGCCGAGCGCATTCTTGACCTTCCCGCACCAGAGTTGGAAGAAGCTATACGATTGGACACATGGGATGCAATTCCAGACGGCTGCGAGGAAGACGAGGACCCACATTGCATTGAGGTGAGCTGGGTCTCACATCCGTCACATCCAAGCTTCTCACACCATACAGTCAGCCCTTCTTTTGTCAACATTCCGTCAGCTCAGTCCTTCTCCCCAAGTCTCGAAGTGTGGACTTTCAAGCATGCCCTTGACCCGGTGCAGTCCCGTGGCATTGCGTGCGTCGAGCGCCGCGAATCTGTTTTGCTTTCCGCGCCTACATCTGCTGGTAAAACGGCAGTTGCAGTGTATGCAGTGGCCATGGCGTTGCATGAGAAGAAGCGTGCGATTTACACAACTCCCATCAAGGCCTTGTCAAATCAGAAGTTCCTGGAGCTTGGAAAATTGTTTGGTGGACAGTATGTTGGCATAATGACCGGTGACACGGTTATCGCCAGTGATGCTCCGATTGTAGTAATGACTTTGGAGATTCTGCATAGCATGCTTTACAAGCAAGCGAGGGATCCAAATCTCATGGATGACTTTGCTTATGTTATTATCGATGAAGCCCACTTTCTTGGCAACGTTGAGAGGGGCTATGCATGGGAAGAAGTGCTGATACTTTTGCCTCTTCATGTCAGGCTTGTGCTGCTGTCAGCGACTGTGCCGAACTCCAGAACGATTGGAGATTGGTGCTCGAGGGTCAGAACAGAGCCGATGCATGTCATCACAAGCGAGCAGCGACCTGTCCCCGTCTTGCATCTAACAATCTTCTTATGTTATCCACTGCTACCAGTGGGCTTTGTATAACATTGTATAACTAGAGAGGAGTGAAAGATAGATGTTGTTGCTTAGGTTTGGTTAAAAGCAAATATGTTTTGGGAAGAACAGTGTTGGCAAATGATGCTTTTGCTAATGATGCCAATAATGCCGTTTCAAAGCGGCCTTCCGTTACAGAAATGCGATGACAGATTCGGATTTCCCTATATAATCACAACACCAGATAGGATGTTCTATTTGATTTGGGCCGCGGTTCGAATGCATATCACAACCTCTAACTTACTACGGGTGTGTTAGTGGTGCCAACGTATTGTACCTGTCAATATTCATGTCGATCTATGTTCAGCTATGTTTGCCTAACCTCCGATGATGCCACATTGAAGCTGGATTCACGTTGTATCAAGGCTACCCTAGGACCTAGGAATGGAGGAAACAAAGTAAGAACATTGGGGGCTTGCTTCAAACTTGCATGTAGCCAGCAGCTGCACCTATCAAGTGGTACTGATCCGGCGGTGTCAACATTGCCCTCCCTCCTAGTTCAAAGGTGAGTTTGTACCCGGAGTTGACTGCCCATCAAATGCTTTGGTTGTTTGTCTTGCTAGTAGATTAGTAGGAGTACGACTACTTAGCAGTGAGGGTCATGGTCGTGGCAGTTTTAGTGGTGACGAAGCTTTTTTGTGGTTATTCACCCATCCAAGGTTCCGCTATTTCATGGTGTCTTCAGATGCGGACCACCAGACTACTTCAGCAAAAAGAGACGGTCACTCTTCAGTATCATGAACCCGCCTCGTAATTTTTTCAAGCCGTGGAATTTGAGTGAGGCCGTTCGGCAAAGAGCCATCATCCTCCAGAGTCAGCCAAAGTGGCGTTGTCCATATGAGCTGCTTCCACGCTTCATTGGTCGCAAGGGTCAAAATCTCAAGCAACTAATGGCTGGCCTGTCAGCATCTGTCAGAGTCGCAGACGAAGGGATCATTGAGGTCAGAGCTTTGGATTGTGATGTTGAGAGAGAAGCGAAGCTGCGAGTGACACGCTGGCTGACAAACCAAGGGGCATTGGCAAAGGCGCCAGACTCCTCTAGCGGCCCATTGTCTTTACAAGTGGAGGATTTGGAGCGACTTCTGTCATTGCTATGGTACAGGAAGCAGCTCCCAACCATCGGTTTTTGCTTTGACAAACGGATGTGTGAGCGAATCGCATTGCTCTTGGCAGGAGGAAAGCGGATGGACTTTTCCAGCAATGCTGCAAAGAGCAAGATTCATGCGCGGTTGCAAGCTGGCCTTGCCGGCCTGGATGAACGGGACAAGCAGCTAGCACAAGTAAAGCACTGCTGTGATTTGCTGGTACGTGGCATCGGGGTGCACCATGGCGGCATGTCAGCAGCTCAGTTACTGGCAGGACAATGCATGAAACTGCAATGCTCTGGGGTTGCAGTGTTCCCAGCGTTTTTCTTTGATCTATAGATCTACTTGGGTTCCTCAAAAAGCACAACCCCCTGGCAACCCACAGAGCCACCATCATCGCAACCGAAAAGTAGAAGCGTTTGCTACTCGAGGATGGACGTACTACCAAAGGGCAAACTGAAGAGTCTCCTTCACGTTGACCGTTTGGTTAGCCTCTGCTGTATTGAAACCTTGGCTCTGGTGTCTTCTGTGAGGATGTAGGGTTTGTTGAACGAGAGTCATATATAATCGAATCTCAAGAGTCAAACATGGACGCTGACTTACCCCAATCAGTATCAGTTGAATCGAACTCTCGACTTGAAATGACTAACTAGACTATGCAAAAACAAACTCTGGGGAGAGCCAAGCTGTGATGCAATTGTTGGGCTGGTTGAGGCTACCGCTTTTGCGGGAGATAGTGGAGTTGCTTTTTGCAGACGGGCTTTTGCCTGTAATCTTTGCAACCGAGACGTTTGCAATTGGATTGAATATGCCTGCAAAGTCTGTCATTTTCACAGATGTCGTGAAATTTGACGGGCGGGCCCGGCGAATGTTGAATGTAAGTGAGTTTCGTCAGATGTCTGGGCGAGCAGGCCGGCGCGGATTGGATCGAGCTGGCTATGTGTATATTATGCTGCATAGCGACCAAATCTTGCAGCAGCCTGCCACAACGGTGCTGACCAAGTTGTACACGGAAGAGCCATCGGAGGTAGTGAATTGCTATCGAATGCGGTGGGCCTCACTACTTCATTTGATTTCAGCTGGCCCTGCACATGTCTACGCTATGTTGTCTAGGAGCTTGCAGAGATTCACAGAGCCCACTGTAGCAATGTCGCGCCAGCAGGAAGCAAGGCGAATGGTGAAGGTCCTTCAAGAGCTCGACTTTGTTGACAAGTCGGGTGTTACTTTGCCGAAAGGGCTACTGGCTTGCCACTTGTTCCTGGCAGAAGATGCTTTGCTAGTCGCGGACATCCTAATTGCTCTTCGGGGCTTTGAAAACTACTCTGCCGCGCAATCTTTTGCCATTTGTGCTGCCTTTGTGGCTGAAGGGTCTTACAATGACCGTTTGAAGATTTCTGATTCGGCTGTATGTGAAGGACTTGCAATTTGTCGCAAAGTGGCTGCGAAGCTGGCTGCGAAGCTTCATTCTCACAAACTTCCCTGTTGCACAAAATGCAAGCTCCTCAATCCAATCTCGGCCGATGTGCTTGGCTGCGATGGTACTGAAATGATTAAGACTCGTCTGAATCCTAAGCTGTGTGAAACAGCGCTGCAGTGGGCTTCGGGGCGAGATTTCACGTCGGCAGTGCTGAGCAGTGGTGTTGCTGTGGGTGGCGAAGGATTTGTGATAAGGGCACTGAGGCGATTAGATGAACTGATGCGGGAGATCACCTTTGTGCTCAGGCATGATCTAGCGTCGCCGGAGACAGCGCGAAGAATTCAGCAAGCCCGGCTCCTGGTAAGAAGGGGTGTCCTTGCAGCCCCCTCCGCTTACTTGGGTGAGGCAGAGGATAGAGTTGCTGAAGAAATCGAAGAAGAGCCACCCTGGCCAAGTCAAACTTGGCCACCAGGTTATCAAGGCACTGTGGATGCATTTGACATCGGTTTTAGCCAGGCATCTTGCAGTGCTAACTTTCATCAACCTCCAGCTCCTGGGGGCCCAAATGACATTCTGGGATTAGCAAAAGCGCTGATCGATGGAAGAGTGCAGCCGGCACAGGTAAATCCAATCAAAATCCATTGGTTTCGCCATCGCTATTATTCCCTGGATAATCGGCGGCTTGCGGCTTTCCGGCTTTGGCGGCTTCTTGACAAGGATGCCAAAGTGCCAGTTGTTGTCCTTAGCAGGAACCAGGCACTGAGAGAGCGATGGCTCAGGAAGTTTACAACTGGCTTCACCGGAGGTCGGAAAATTCGAATAACCCAAACAGACCGATTTGTCGGATTGACTCGCGAACAATCAACCTTTGGCAGCAGCCTCTGGTCTTAACAATATTACGAGTATGGCTGTGAGTTGCTGCCGATTCCAAGTGGACAAACGAGTTACAAGTTGCTGAGTATGCCCTGTGTACGACGTGAGCCTGACACTCACATTGTACAAGGTTGACATCAAAGGACGCCAGCGACAGCCGCGGGCCGTGAGCCATGTGAGCTGCAGAAAAGGATTCTTCTTACATGGCCTTTGCCGGCCCTTGGCCCTTGTCGCCGTGGGTTATCGCCAGGCACGAACACCTGCGACCCTTCGGCAGATCTCTAGTAGCATTGCTGGGTGTGGCTGGCAAACATTGGGATGGGATGGGAATCAGCTTGATTTCTTATGTTGTTCAGCTTGTTTATTTTGTGCCGGATTTGGCCAGGCAATGTCTACAAGCCGCCAAATATGCTTTGAAGGACACCCCGACTCGAAACTAGTTGAAGTGTCAAGAATGATGTATGGAGAAGGGGATCATAGAACCTGTAGTGGGTTGATCCGAGTGCTTGGATTTGATCCCTGGTTCTGGACCGGACACAGGACAATGTGAAGCATTGGGAAAGGCCGAAGGCAAGACGGGGCACGTAACAGCCGAAACTTCTTCAAACAATAGAGATAGTGAAACAGATTCGCCTCAAAACCACGACCAAGGGTTTCGGGGGGGTGCTTTGTCCTTCTGCTAGCGCCTTTTGGTAGGCCTTTAATGGCCGTAAGTCCAGCACTTTCCGCTGTGAGAGGTCAGAATCACTTTGTCATCTGGCTCCCAGCCGATGCCAACGGGTGCGTCTTGCAGTTCTTTTGACTCTTAGAAACAAACATTGTCTCAGAACCTGTCGCGTTTGGGTCTCGGGTCTCGCTAGGTTGGAAAGAGCCAGTTGCGACCTTAGAACGACCGGCGTTGTACAATGCCGCTCCATGCCTTGCGCAAAATGCCAAGGATTCGCCTTCATCCAGGAGGAGCTATGCAAGCTATGCTCAAAGCAAGAACGAGGATGGACATTTTTGTGACACCTCGCTTGTGTTGCAAGTATCTACCAAATATTGCCATATCATGCTGTGGACCTGGACTATCAGATATCATTTTTGTCATCATGTAGATCCATCCCTGTACCCTGCAGGACTTGCCTGTACGCAGAAGGAGAGATGGCAGCCTGATGCTTCACTTGCTTTTCCGCGCTTGCATACCTCACAATTCAGGAGCCCACCCAAGAAAGTGGATGCACTGGACCAGCAGGCAATTTACTGCCAAAGGTTTTGGATGGGCTGAGGCTACTCCTTGGACAGTGGTTTCCGCACTTGTAACTCCTACCGTGTTTGACAAAAGCACTCCGAAGGAAGCACTTTTTTGCCAAGATATGCGGCGCTTGACGCGGGTGGCAAAGGCATGCGCAGAGGAGAAGTGGGTACAAATGACAGGGGCTAGAACTAGAACCAGATATATATATATATATACATCTGAGAAAGGAATATATATATATAGTAGAGCCACAGTGTGTCATAGAAAGTCATACAACTGCATTCTTTCAGCATTTCTCAGACTAATTCCACAACCAATTTTCACGCTGTCGATACCGTTGTTTCCCTCTGATGCAAGAGACACTCTCTGAAGCGAAGCGATCCAGGATGCTTTGCGAGAGCTCAAGAGCCTCCGCAGCGAAGCTGATGACCTGCGAAAGCAGCTGAAGAGCCTCACGAGCTCAAACTCGTACACAACTCGGTCGTCGCAGCATAACACGAGCAAAAAAAGAAGGAAAAGGAGATTAAAGAAGGAGGGTAAGGGTGTAGAACCCCGCCTTCTAAAGGGGGCATTTTGAACCCTTACCTTTCCTTTTTTCATCTCTCAGGCTGAACAGTCGAATGTGTCGATGAATGTGAGCGGATGACATGAGGCAAGATGGCAGCTTCGCGCTTGGCTATGCTTCACGCTTTTACGTTTTTGCAAGCTTGTTGTCGGCTTAAAGATGCTTTCCATTCCGAGGTCCAGCCAGATCGCAGGCACAGCTGACAGAGCAGTGAAGCCTTTTGTGGTGACTGTTGCTAACCTTCCTGTGCATACCGAACAAAACCATGTCAAATTGGAGGCACGAAGGCGAGAGCTGGGCACTCAACTTGATCCTTATCACATCCCCACTCCGGTGGGCCGAGAGTCATACCCTTTTGCGAGGCCGAGATTGGCTGGGAGACTCTCCGCGCGCTAAAGCTGGAGCCAAAGAAGCTCCCAACCCATTTCTGTACATAGGATGGATGCGCATGCTGACTCAGGGTTGAAAGGCGTTTCAAGAAAACAAATTCTTCTGGCACTGGATCAGATGAGGAAAAGGATAAATTTGGCCTAGAGGGTCCAGCAGGACGCGGATTTGGTTTCACGTCCGTCCATGTGGGTTCAGCTTCACCAAGTGAAGCTGAAAACCACATGAGGTTTGCAGAAAAAGGCCTTCATGGTGTTTCATGGTGTGGAGGACCACATGTGTAAGGCTTGACAATGAAGCTTGCAGCTTTCAGCTTTCCGAAGCGTTTGGCAAACCAGTCTCAAATACTACTGAATTAGTTTTGAACACACCCTTATCAAAGCAGCCAGTTGCCAGCAATACTTCGGTGGTCGACGCACTTGCAACCCATAGATTCACACTGCGTTTTTTGAGCTTCGATGGCAGCCGCGCATGCTTTGGCCGATGCTGTTGCCAAAGTTCTGTGTGACGACAAGGAGATGCAGCGTGGCATTTACGCGTCATTGAGCAACATCAAGGATATCGATGAACAGCTTGTGGCGATCGATTCCTTGAGCGAGAAAGGCCTTGGGCTTCGCACTGAGCCAAAGTCACAGCCAGGCCCTGGTGGCCCCGGTAGTGGCGCTGCAGCGCTGCCAGCTGTGCCTCCTACACCACAACTTTTGGCCCCGACTCCACCCGCCACCGGGCTTGCCAGGAAAGCAACGCCAGCGGAGCGCTTTGTGATGTGGTCCCCCATGGTGGACACACATATTGCTGTTCGCGATATTGATGAATTACGAGAAGCAGATCGAAGCACCTTGGTTTTGGAGGTGCCCAAGTCTCTGAAAGCTTCGACCTCTCTGCCAGAACTGAGACGAGAAAGCCAGGAAAGCAGAGTGCAGAGAAAGAAACTACAACCAGCCGCCGCTGAGTTGCGACGCAGTGCGTTGAATATGGGTTTGCCCCCGCAACTGACCACCACCTACATGTCACAGTGTATGGTGCCGGTGCAGAAAGCAGTGGATCCAAAGTGGTCTACTGATTTGAAGCGAGCAGACTGGCGGAATGCCCAGCGCATTCAGTATGATAACCGCCTATCAGCATCTACAACTGGCTCCATTTCTCCAGAGATGCACTTTTTGGAAAGACATCACTGAGCCTGGCAACAGTCACCCTCTACTTGAGCAGTTGCTTGCCAAAGTGTCCAGGGCAACGGTAGCTGCCTTCGATATAAACTGATGTGCTTCGTGACCAGCATGCCCTGCAAATGCAGGATGGCCAGTTGAACTGGGCCAACTAGCCCAAATCCAATCCAATCCACAGATCCTTCTGAATGTGGAAAAGGAGAGATTTGGCCCAGAGGGTCCAGCAGGACGCAGATTTGGTTTCACAACCAAAGCACAAGGGGCCAGCAACAGCAGCAACATTTTTCTTGGCTGTCTCTTGCCCTTGGTCCATGCGGATTCAGCCTCACCAAGTGAAGCTGAAAGCCACATGAGGTTTGCAGAAAAAGGCCTTCATGGTGTTTCATGGTGTGCAGGACCACATGTGTAAGGCTTGACAATAAAGCTTGATGAAGCTTGCAGCTTTCAGGTTTCTGAAGCGTTTGGCAAACCAATCTCAAATGCTCTTTATCAATCCCTTCTGCAGGGTGGCATCGCATGTTCTTGCAGGGTAGGCATTGGTCAAAGGCAAATGTTCACTGTGGCAACGCCAGCAATATAGCCAACAGATACAAATGAAACATATTGACACATCCTGCAACGGAACTGCATGATGGGCCTTCATGATTTGTATGGCATAGTTCTGTTGTGTGCACCTGGACCTTGACAAACAAATATTCGGCGAGCAATGCTGGGAGCTATAAACACAGCTCCGATGTCTACCGCTTCCATGTCCATGGCACCTCGAGCTGTGCCGCACAGTTTCATGCTTCGAGCCAAGGCCATAGACAGTCGACCGAGTTGACTTCATTCGGCAAGCCGTGGCAAACCACAAGATAAGTCGGCATCCTTTATTGCTCTTTATCTGATAGTTTTTGTTCTTCAATAAACACAATCAGTTGAGTTTTTGAATCCTTCAACGGTCTCTGCTGCCCTTTTCAATAGATTGCTTCATTGGTAGAATTGAAGGACGGTTTTACTCATGCTTTTCGCATGGCCTCGGCGGAAGTGGTATGATGAAACCAAGAGCCACTCATGGAGAGTCTCGGCTGGGAAGGCCGTGAAGCGGAAACCTCATTTGTCAGCCTACCATGATAGCATGGCTTGCATCGCTCTGGCGTTGTGAAATGGTATTGACAACAGTGATCAGTTGAATATATATCTGATTATACGTGTAAAGTATGGAAGCTTGAGAAAAGGTCTTCATTATCGGAGCTGGGTTTCTTTCCCCTTGCCTCTTGACACTCACAGTCTGGTCTGGTTGCCAAACAGAAGCATTGCTGCAGTAACAAGCCCTAAGAAACACAAAGTTTGCACTACTTTTCCAAAGTCAGCACTGGGCTACTTGACGGGGGCGAAATGTGCAATGTCGTTTTGCCAAGAACGTCGGCTGAGGAGCATTCTTGGTTTTCGGGATCGCTGCACTGAAGCGTGTTCCTCTTGCACCAGCTGCACCACTCTTGTAATTCCAGAAACCCATCGCCTAGCTCGTTTCGGCAAGAAGATGCACGGCTGCAAGTGGTGCTCAAGGACAGATGAACTGATTGTTTGCCTGACCTAACTGTTTGCAATAAATGTTGACTGGTTCACATACCAGTTGCACCAAGGATTCGTGGCAAGAGCGTACATGAGAAGACTATTGACTTCTCCATGAGTCATGGCTCCGACCTGGCTGGCTCCTATGCTCGCTCATTTGATGGATTGGGAGCAGATGGGGAACTTACTCCAGGTACAAAGAAAACGGCGCTTGAAGCAATGAGAAAAGTGCTCAACAGAGCGGAGTTCACTCCAAGAACTCCCAGAGACTTTGATGACCTCGATGAGGAGGAAGAAGAGGAGGTGACGCGAAAGCTGCAGACAAAATTTCTAGATGCTGCTCGAGCTGGTAACTTCCGACAAGTTGTAGAAGGACTTGCAGAAGGGGTGGATTTGCATTGCACCACGGCTCGGGGCCAATCTGCGTTGATGCTGGCTGCTGCATCCAGAGGGCATGGTTCTCTCCAAATCATCAGCTTTCTGCTCGAGCATTTCGCAAGCATTAGACACCTTTTTGTTTTCCGTTTTCCTCCTTTTTGGTTGGCATCTTGCTTAGAGGCTTAGAGTGTTTTCATATATGCCGTTATATGTCCCTCTTCCACTTACAAAAAGACATGCTTGTGTCAGTCAATCCAGGTGCCAAATGCACCTGGAGGGCAATGACAATCTTGGTTGGACAGCGCTTCTCCACGCATGCAGAAATAACATGTCTGAGGCGCTGTCCAACACTCACGCACAAAGCATGAGACACATGAAGCACCTGACACTTGGTCTATTCCATTCCACGAAATTGCAAGCATGCTCCACTCTGATCCACCAGATTGAAAGGCAATGCCCGTTATGAAGTTCCACGTCGTATGTAATAATGCATAGTCAGATGCTTTTCAGGCTGTCGAACTGCTGCTCCAGAGCCGTGCAGATGCTGGTGCCAAATCCATTGATGGCCAGGCAGATTTGTTTGATCAACCTTGTTGTCATGCTGCTGCTGCTGCTGCGGCTGCTGCTGATCTTGGTTCTTTAAATTGTCATTGCTGATCATAGTTTTGTTTATTTTGGGACATGAGAATTCGGGCACCCAGTGAAACTGAAGGGCCATAGCATTGCTACCTGCTACCTATTGTTGGGCAGTAGATGGGGAGTTATCAGATCCGGGGCCAAGAGAACCCAAAGCCCTGGCAGAATGCAGCCATGCTCGCAGCTGCTGAGTCTGTGACCTCAGCCTTGAGCAGAATGCAAGATCAGACGGACCGTCTTGGCACGTTCGACATCAATCAAGCGTGAGAACTGATTCCTCCCAGGTCGGGGGATGAGCTGGTTATGCGCATCGTTGGCCTCCGTCTAAGGGAGTAGTAGCGAGTCGCACTTGGCTTTCGTGAGTGGCATGCAGCACACCACCTCTGTTTGAGTTTGTATGCTGCAGTAAGTCACTTCTAGAGTTCGCTGAGATTGTCGAGTCCAACTGGACCGAAGCGATCGACGTGGTCATACATTGCTGTTTCTTGGCTGAAAGCCCTCCACACAAGGAGGAAAGGAAGCACTTGACTTTCTCTGCATTGACTCTTTCTCAAGACGGGATTGAATTGGTGCATCTCAACAGGTTTTATGCGGTTGAACATGGGCGAGCTTGACTCAGACAGAGAGTCGTAAGGTAAGAGTTTGCTGCCTGAAGCATGTTGAAGCTAGAGCTGTTGCTTGCTTGGTATCAACTCCATCCATAGCATGAATGAAAGACACCTTGCAAAAGATGGTGCTTTGACAACACTTATCTAACGGTCAATTTCTGATCATAATTTCAAGATCAATTTGTATTGTATACTATACTATTTCCTTGTTAACCATCAGCCTCAGGCGAGGAGCTGGTGAAATGGCTGCTGAAGCGCAAGGTGAATCCGAATGCCAGAGCTAAGGCCGGAGCAATGAAATGCGTTGCAAATACTGAAACGAATGCGAGTATGTGAAAGCGTACGGGAGCTTGTAGAAACATGTAGAAACTATTTTGTGTGCTTTCAAAAGCATGACCTCAACTGCTCCAAGTTTCAGTTTACCAGTGTCGACAGCGATATTTGCTCTTTGACCTCTGTGTTTGATTGCATAATTCTTGCCTCTTTTGAAGTGCTGTGCAGGACAAAAGCAGTTGCATGATGCTTGCAGCTGAGAGAGGCCGGAACCCTCCGCTCTACATGACTTCAAACCACCTCTGTCCGGCGGCAGGTCATCTCAGCATTCTCAAAACGCTATGCAACAAGAATGCTGATGCGACTTGGCCAAGCTGGAGCTGGCGGAAATGACATCAAAAAGTGGACCAAAGTTACTGACCATGGTGCAGACTGTGTTTGAGAGATTGATTTCCCTATATAATATACATATTTGAAGGCTTACGCCTAACAGCCGGGCGCCGGCCCACTTGGGTCTGTGGGGCGTATGTCACGCCTATGTTGGCCTTGGTGGGGCCTATATTGAGCAAAGTTAAGCTATCTGGTGCACATCTTGGCCCTAGGTTGGGCCAAGTTGGGCCCATGTGGTCTATGTTGGGCACATCTTGGGCCCATGTTGAGCCTATGTTGAGCCTATGTTGGCCTATGTTAGGCCTGTGTTGGCCGAGGTTGGGCCTATGTTGGGCCTGTGTTGGCCCTATGTTGAGCCATCTTGGAGGCTATGTTGGGCATATGTTGGGGATATGTTATGTTGGCTATCTTGGGCCTATGTTGAGGATATGTTAGGAAATGTAAGTCGTCTGGAGGGCCTCTACCCACAAAATGTCGATTAAGCCTGTTCGCCCTGCCCGCATTACCGACACCACCCTTGAAAAGCACAGCATTTTTGCATCTTGGCCCTAGGTTGGGCCAAGTGGGGCCCATGTGGTGTATGTTGGGCACATCGTGGGCCCATGTTGAGCCTATGTTGGGCCTATGTTGGCCCATGTTAGGCCCATGTTGGCCTATGTTGGCCTGGGTTGGGCCTATGTTGGGGCCCCGTCTTGGCCTATGTTGGCCCTATGTTGAGCCATCTTGGAGGCTATGTTGGGGATATGTTGGCTATCTTGGGCCTGTTTCGGGGATACGTTAGGCAATTTATGTTGGCACAATCTACCAATACAACTTTTTACGATTTTTCCTTCCCGCAAACCAAAAACACTGGAAAAACTCACGTTTTTTTGACATCGCCAAGCTGAAATTCTCGGCTGCCGAGGGGCCCGAAACCCTGTAAAACACAGTGTTTTTTACACCTCACACACACGATACACTGTAAATTACAGGGGCATCAGTGAACAGGAAGTGACCAGGGGGTCCGCCCGTTTTGGGAACGAGGGTCGGCGGCAGGGGGCGCGCCCGTATATCCGGGCGCCGGCCACGGGCCCGTGTCCTTGCCGGAGGCCTTCGGTTGGTAACCGAAGGTTATATACGCTCGCCGCCCCTGCCGCCGACCCTTTTGTTGGACCTCGCGTGTACCCCCGCCCGACCCCCGCCCGACCCCCGCCCGAATCCGGTCGACAGATTTATATGTATCTTGCGCAGGATGTTCAAAAAATGTTCAAAAACATCAGTTTTTACAGTGTTTCGTGGCCTTCGGCGGACATGACTTGCGCCTCACAGGGCGCCGGTGGTGTCGGTTATGCGTGCCGCGCGGACAGTCTTAATCGACATTTCGTGGGTGTTGGGCACATAAGTTGCTTAACATATCCCCAACATAGGCCCAAGATAGCCAACATATCCCAAACATATGCCCAACATAGCCTCCAAGATGGCTCAACATAGGGCCAACATAGGCCAACATGGGGCCAACATACGCCAACATAGGCCCAACATAGGCCTAACATAGGCCCAACCTAGGCCCAACATAGGCTCAACTTGGGCCCAAGATGTGCCCAACATAGACCACATGGGCGCAACTTGGCCCAACCTAGGGCCAATAGCTTAACTTTGGTCAATATAGGCCCCACCAAGTCTCAAAGAAAGAGAGAGCGAGAGAGAGAGAGAGGACCCAGCCCTGCACATACCCAAACCCAAATAGGCCGGCGCCCGGCTGTCAGGCGTAAGCCTCATAAATAACCTTCGGTTACCACCGAAGGCCTCCGGCGAGGACACGGGCGCGTGGCCGGCGCCCGGATTGTAAGGGCTTCGCCCAGGTGCCGCCGACCCCTATTTTCATGAAAAGGAATTGGTAGACAGGCCATCCCTGCGCCCGCCACGAATCTGTCCGTGTCCACACGTCTAACGCGCACAAAGGACTGCCTGCCACGAAATGTCACCTGCGTCACACCTCGCAGCCTCACGAGTCCTTGCGCCGGCCACGAAAATCGTACTTCCACACCTTCTGCGCCTGCCACGAAAAGTGACAAGATCATCTCCCATGAAAACATAATCGTCAAGAAAAATAGGGAACCAACCAAAGGCTGGAACAATGCCATCACTGGCGTAAAGTCGCTATATTTTGTTTTGTGAACATTGGCACTCATGTGCCGAATGGTTCTGGAAAGGTCATCTGTTCACCACGCGTCCACACGTCTAACGCGCACAAAGTACTGCGCCTGCCACGAAATGTGACCTCCGTCACACCTCGCAACCTCACGAGTCCTTGCGCCTGCCACGAAAATCGCACTTCCACACCTCAGAAGCCTCACAAAGTCCTGCGCTTGCCACGAAAAGTGACAATATCAACTCCGTGGAAAACATAGTCGTTAAGAAAAATAGGGAACCAAGCAAAGTCTGGAACAATGCCATCACTGCCGTAAAGTCGCTATATTTTGTTTGTGAACATTGGCATTCATGCGCCGAATGGTTCTGGAAAGGTCATCTAACGCGCACAAAGCATTGCGCCTGCCACGAAATGTCACCTCCGTCACACCTCGCAACCTCACGAGTCCTTGCGCCGGCCACCAAAATCGCATTTCCACACCGGAGAAGCCGCAGAAAGTACTGCGCCTGCCACGACAAGTGACAATATCAACTCCCTTGAAAACATAGTCGTTAAGAACAATAGCTGCCGAGTAATGCCGAGAAGGGTTTGAAGTGTTTGAGGGCTGGCAAACGGCGCTTTCGAAACGCCTAAGGAGTGACATGCACCGGCTGTCGCAGGCAAGGCTGCGGCGCAGGAATGTGCAGCCAAAGGTCCCGGGACGGGGTTTGGAGCCTGGCCAACAGCCAAAGGTCCCGGGAAGGGGTTTGGAGCCTGGCCAACGGCGCTGCCAGCTGCCGAGAAGGTTTGAAGTGTTTGAGGCTGGCAAACGGCGCTTTCGAAGCGCCTAAAGGGTGACATGCACCGGCCCTGCCAAAGCAAAGCAGCGGCCAAAGGTCCCTGCCGAAGGCCCCGGAAGGTTTTGAGAAGCCTGGCAAAGAGTGACATGCGCCGGCTTTGCCAAGCAAAGCAGCTGCCAAAGGTCCCTGTCAAAGGCTTTGCTAAGCCAAAGGTCCTGGGAAGGGGTTTGGAGCGTGGCCAACGGCGCTGCGAGCTGCCGAGAAGCGTTTGAGGGGCTTTCGAACGCCTAAAGAGGGATATGCGCCGCCTTTCGCAAGCAAGGCTGCGGTGCAGGAATG